TCTCTAACATTCTGTGATTCTGTGTAAACAGTTGAAACATGTATGCTGATATGAGCAGTTTTTTAGATGCAATGAAACTAAATTCCTCCCCAGTGCAACTTGGTCATGAAAGTAATAAAGTGAGAGAACACAACATTAACTTACCATGTTGTCCCTTGTTGAAATTACAACAGACAAAAATGAGTAATAAAACAATCTCATAATAATGTAATTACTTTATGCAATCATGTTTCTAGGAAACTTTTCAAAATCAAGAAAATACAAAATTGTCTTCTATTTTAATGAGTACAGGGGGAAAGTACCTTGTCTTTGTACATGTTATTAGGAAACGAAAACTATGTGTAGCTATAGTTAAAATAGTGCAGCAGCACATCTTAAATGCACTATTCCAACTTGATCTTGTGCTCAAAGGCATTAATTTCTTACTACAAATGGCTACAGATTTAATAATGTGTCCAAGCAATCACAACTGCAAAAGACATGGCAAGAATAATCCGAACTCGCAGTATTTAAAGTTATTATTTAAAATTACATATATAATCTAGATGCAAATAATACCTTCTATCTGGATATTTCTTTCTTTTTTTTGTAAAGAGAACTATGAACAAGTGAGGTAGCTGATACTGTTGTGACTGAAGCTGCTAAATGTTCTCTGGTATATTTTTTCTTAAAACGGTGTGGTGTAATTTAGCATAATGGCTTCTAGTAATGATGGGGGGAAAATTCTTGTAAGTTTTCAGTCAATATAAGTAAAAGACTACTTTTTTTCATCAAGGAAAGCATATTCCAAGTATATGTAGTAGTATAAGTCTTGTCCCATTCCTGTCCTACTGAAGACCTCACAAAATTTTCCTGCAGAAGTACTCGTGGAGGTGAGAAATAATATCTCGCAGCCTGTTTTGTTTTGGTATTCCCTTTATTCTTCCCTTTCCCTCTCCTTTTTGGTATAATCTCTCAGATGCTCAAGCCTCTTTTATCTTTCTCCCAGTCTCCCATACCATTTTTTATAATAAAATCCATAATTTAGTGATTGCCTGTTTACTAGTATACTGAATTTGCAGGTCTACTGCTTTCTTAATTTGGAGCAATCTGATTCCTGGTGGTTCATAGCTTTCACTTGAATCTAATGGGTAGAAATCAGTGATGGAAGCAACTTGCATTCACTAACTGTCTGAAAACCTCTCCAAAATTCTACTGAACAACACACAGCCACCCTACAATCATTATTACCATTATTGATGTAATTTGATGTAATGTAAGACTAATTATCCACCTATCTAGCTTATTATTCTTGTAACGGTCTAAATGAATGAGCCCTAAAGGCTCTGTGGATGTGTCATGTTACAAAATTAAGCTCTCTTAAAACTACCTGGTAGTATCAGGTAGTGTCTTTGTATGCCTGTGTTTAAAATGTCAGTGATAGTGGGGGAAACCTTTTTTCATCAAAAAGAAAGAGAGATCATCCATCTCATCAAAATACGTGTGACAGGCTTTAATACCCTTAATATATTCATACCCACACATTAAAATGTTGTACATTTTTCATAATTATATTGTTCTGCAGTAACTGCATTTGTGTGAACTCTCTGGAAGAAAATGGAATTAATTAACCACCTGGCTTCACCTCATGTATGAAAAGTAACAATTCTGGACATCTTCACAGTTGCTGGAATATGTATTATTTTAACTCTTCAATAATAATGTGAAAAAGAGACAATTTTATTTTTTGAGAAGACCAGTGGTAATCCAAGGCTTGGGTGATCTTGATTCTGAGAAGAAGATGCTGCATACTCTCAGTGCTATGAGTGGGTAGGCATTTGGCATGCTGCAGGTTGTTCAGGGTGGTTTTGACATCTAAAAATATCTATATATTAAGAAGGTTACTGCATCTTGAATTCTTAGGCTAATCTTGAAGGCTGATTAAGCCAAGATCAGCATACTCTTATTCTGGAATAAGACAAAATGTTCTTATGATGCAATAACAGTATCCACAGTAGAGCAGGTCCTTAGAGGTGAATGTTGGAAATATAGTAAAGTATCAAGCCTTGAATACTCGTTTAACAGGAAAAAAAGCTTGTAAAATGTAGAGAGTGGACTGTGGGCTTGAGTAACCTCCTTAACAGAGCCATTTTACCACATTTTGATTAAGTAAACACCCATTTCTAACATCCTCTTCTTTTACAGTGCACAGGCTTCATACACTAATGCCTTTATTCAATGCAAAGTGAGAAGTGGGCTGCATCTATCTCTACTCATTCAAAGACATCTCTGTGATGAGAGCGAGCTAAAATTTGCTGAAATAGTAACTTCATTTTATGGAAAGTACAGACTGGTCCAGACAGGAACCTTTTGCAAAATCCATATTAACTTTTGAAGATGTGCTGAGTCCTGTCTAAAGTCTGCTTGCTTTCATAATGTCTTCATGTTCCTGTGAACAACCTTTGCAACACCACAATTTTCAGATCCTTTTGCAGAGATAGGGCTTTGAAAGCCTTGGAAGTCCCCATTGTATCCCATCTAAAGGCTTTGGTAAGTCTTGGGATTTGAGCTCCTTGATCCTATGAACAGAGCTGCTGGACGAGGCCAAGGGGCAGTTTGACGAAGTATTCTTTTTCTGGCAGTGGTTGACAGCTGACGTTTAGAGAAAGCATATAGAAAAACTACAAGGATAAAAAGTGGTAGAGGCTTTAGAAGTATTGTAATTAAGGGTCCAGTTTCCAAGGAGTCATGCTTTTGGACTTTCAGATCTATAGTTTAATTCTAGGCTGCTGAGTTCAATAGCCTTTGGATCTTTCTTCTTGTGTGTTTCCTAGGTCTTGCACTCACTGATACTTTTTGACTCGGTTCTATTAAAACATTCTCAAACAATGAATAATTGTTCCGTGATTGCACTTAAAAATATCCATTTTTTTGTTGTAATGCAGCACCAGCTTAAAAAAAAAACCCCTGTGTAATAGAGCTTGTTGTTTTTCAGTCTACTTTTTAAACATGATGCACATCTTTTTGTCTTATTTTCCCCAGTCTTCAGTGTGTGTCAATAACTGTTAAATACAGGATGGTATTAGTGCTGTGTAGCTTTGTCAGTTTGCTTCCTGTGTTAGGATATGCTGTTGTCATGACTGTTAGCCCCTATTAAGTGTCACTGTTCCCTATGCGAAGGAATTTCTTTCTTTCTTTTTAATTGTGTACTCACTTCTTTCATGCCTCTTCCTATTACAGTCTCATTACTCCATGAAGAAGGCAGCCTCCTTCCTGGGTATTGGTACAGAGAATGTTTACTTCATCAAAACAGATGAACGGTAAGCAAGCAAAAGCCATGGCGGTGGTGTGAGCCTTTTAAAATGCAGTAGTGCTGTACATAACTAACCTGTGTGAATGTAACTGAAAAAGTTTTACGTCTGTGTCCCTTAGAGGTAAGATGATACCTGAGGAACTGGAGAAACAAGTCCAGCGGGCCAGGAAAGAGGTGAGAGGGGGAGAGAGAGCTTGAAGGAGAGAGAAGTGTATGCAGACTGTGTGTTTGAGTGAAAGGAAGAAAAACCAGGAGTGAAATCTTAAAAATTGGGCAGTTAATGTACCAATGTCTTTCCTACAGATGCAATCTGTTTGCCACAAACTTGTGTAACAAGCCAAGCCTTCTAGGTGCTATGCTTTTATGATGGAGAAAAATTGCACAGCGTGTTTAGTACTAACGGAAGTCCTGAGTACAACACTGCTCTGAAGTATTTAGCACATTTCTTCTAGGATTTCTTTTGCCCTTGATCCTTTTTTAAATGGATGTTTTCCTTAAATGGTAAGTGAAAACTGTGGGGTTTGCAGTTACTTGCAACAGCTATTGCTCTATCCTCTGCAGTGAGCAAGAACTGTAACATGCAGCTTAGTCTCTATCATACAAGCTCCAAATGCTAAATTTGGTCCCTTCTAGTATTGTAGCGAGAGTGCAGAGATTCTGTTTTGTGCCTCTTTTTCCTGCAGGGACTTTGCCAAGTAGAAAGTTGAAGGCCAGCTTTGGAAATGTACTGATGTGTGTATCTGGGCAACATTAACATATGTTCTCACAATCTGTAACACAGCACTTACTGTAGACAATGTAATTTATTTTAGAGAGCTTGGAGGACTGAATGTGAATTCTAAGGCACAGAGCATCTTCTTTTGGCTTGCTTAGCTCACCATATTTCTCACTTCCAGTTTGTGCGTGAGAACGGTAGGATTCAGAGCTCCACGATCTGTGAATACCAAAGCAACTGTTGCGTGGATGATGCCTACCATGGAATTCTACCTCTGGAAACTCTGCTGTTTTGGGTGACAGAAAAGCTAAGGCAGTGCTGTCTTGTCATGCACTGGCATGGCCCCAAGAGCTTTTCCTAAGGCCTGATTTAGATACATCTTCTGCCAAACAACCATCTCCTCTTTGAGTTTCGTGCTAGGTAGCATAACTATTGATACATGGTGACTCTAATTACCTAGCAAGCTCTCTTGCTTGCCTTTTTTCTGTTCTTTGAATTAATCATGGAAGACATCTGTACTTTGCTCATTTAAGAAAAAAAGGACTGAAATGAAATGGAGCAAGAGGAAGCGGGCTGGCAAGAGAATGAGCTTTTTGCTCTTAAAAAAATTGAATTTTTGTTTGTTGGTGTAATAATAAACAGTTATTTTTTTTTTTAAAATCTGTCATTCATGATTAAGAAAAGTCAGCCTCAGTATGGTGCTCTGCAATTTAAAGACAAATTTTCTGTATTAAAATGCTCTTCTTACAGGACAAACATTATTTCATTTGCATTTTAATGGAAGTTACAGTTACATTGGAAGGTTTTCACTTCACCAGAGCTTTAGTGTGTCTGTCCTTGATAAAGTGCTGTTTTACAGCTCTTACAGAAGGACACTTCAGTGAATTGCAGTAAGTATTCTAACAACTCTAGACAACAGGGGATGTATTTGTTAGTGACAGGAGCACAAAATGATCACTGACTATCAATAGCAAGAGTCTTAGGCCTCTTTTTAGAGGATTTAGTCAGGAAGATTTATTTAACTGTATTGTCAGGAAGAATAAAAATTTATTTCCCTTCTTTGCAGGAAAAAGGTAATGGTAACAATCTTTGGAATTTGTAGAGATCCTAGACTTGTCCCCATATTCAGTTGTGTTACCTGCTGGCTGCTGGGGTACCTTTGACTTTGATGTAGCTGTGGGAGAAAATTGATGAGAATGCTAACAGAAACTGTTAAGTACAGCAGATGCATGTTTGCCTCACTTTTGCAAGAATGTTTTGTACTTGAGTTTCAGGCTGATTTGTAAGGTTGATTGACTTCTGTTGTAGGTTGTAGTAAGAAGTGAGTTATAGGCTAGTAATTCTTTGTAAATGTATGGGATTCATTTAAATTCCAAAGTTGTTTTTCACTGTTATAGCAACTTGTAAAGGAATTCTAAAATACAAATAAATCATAATGTCTGTCTGTAGTAGATTTGTAAAAGTGGCAACACTTTAAAAAAAGAGATTGGATTTCAGCAGAAATGAAGATACATAGAAGACTCGTATAGAGTTTGATTTTTTTCAGCTGATGTCTGATTTCAGTGAAGCTACATTGAGTTACATAGCATAGAGGCATCATCTGAGAGATTCAGTTCACCACAAATGAGCTCCAGGGATCTCAGATTATTCAAGTTAATAACAACTTTAGTCCCTTTTCAGTAACTGCATTATTATGCTGTGAACCAGATGCTGAAATGGGCAGAGGAGTTCCTTTAGCATATATTTACCAGCAACTGGGACTGCATTGTCATTGCTAGGGCTGATATCCTCAAAGTCATGAAGTGGTTTCAAACTGCAGCAATTGTTTTTATTGTTTCACTTTCTGCTCCTAAGTAGACACAGGCCCGTACATCCGCCAGGGTACACAACCTAGTCTGCTATGGTAGTTGCACCCCTGCCATTAGTTGAATGGGAAAGCAATGAGCAAAGCCTCTGAAACCAAAGTGGATGGCTTGTGACAGTTGTCTGAGACCGCAACCTGACAATAGTTTTCCTTGTCCTACCTGTCTAACCGCAAAACTGAGATTTCTGGTGATTTCTCTCCAAATGTTCAGTTAGCACCTACAGCTGCCTTCCTGTTTTCTAGCCAAGGGAAGGAGCAAGAGAAGAGCACTTTGCTGTAGACCAGGCATTGGGGTCAGCTAGTGATGACTGCCCCTGTCACTGCATGCGCCAGTGCTGCCGAAGGCAAATCGTGTTCCCTAACTGAAGGTTCCTCTTCACTAGGCAGAGAATATGGGCATTGTAGAGATAGCACAAGTGGAAATCCTGGAGGGATGGGACATTCCCTTGCATGGGTAGCCTGCTGGCTGCATTAGGGGAGCTTGGTTTTCTTCAGCAGAATGGCAGCAAATACGGTAGAAAAATGTGGAAGACTGAGAAATGAAAATCAGTGTTTAAAGAGAGCTGTCAAATATCTGGTATGTTTTGATCTTGACAAAACTGGCATCTGTCAAAACAGTCTGAAGCTGGTAAAGTCTGCCCTGGGATGGTGTTAACTGAAAATGGAAAACGTATTTTAAAAAAATTTTTTTAAGTTTTTTTTAAAGAGTCAGCACTTTTAAATGCAATACCTTCTGTTGGGAAACTAAAATGTAGGCTGTCACATCTTTGTCCTACATTCCTAGACCTTTTTATACTTCTGCAGATATACTGGGGGAAATGAGCAATACAAATGTCAATTTTTTGTTTTGAATCCTATTGCAGGGGTCAGCACCATTTCTTGTCTGTGCTACAGCAGGCACAACAGTGCTGGGAGCATTTGATCCTCTGGATAAAATTGCAGATATCTGTGAAAAGCACGACCTCTGGCTTCATGTTGACGTGAGTTTGTGTCCGATATAGTTTGGTTTAGCTTTTTTTTTAATTATTGCTGTTTTTCTTTGACTGTTGATGTTTCTTTATAGAAGTAAGTTGAGCTCTAATACCTTTTCTTTTGCATAGAGAACAGAAATACATTCTGATTTGTCTCTGTTACGTGTGCTGAAAAACAGCAAAAAATTTGATCATGACAACCAGTGAAAGCTATTTTGTCATTGTCAGATTATGTTTTAAAATTATTTTTAAATCAATTTCTTCTTCTTGCTACCTCCTAAAAATGCTTCAGGGGTGATTATATACAAATATAACTTCAAATTATTTCCACATTCTACTGGAGAATGGACACATTAGAATGGCTGTGTATGGTTCATACAGGTTAAAATGTATGTTTATGATTCAACCAGTCATAAATTATTCTGTTTCATATTTACAGGTTTGAGTTTCCTGTAGATCTCATTACGTTTTCCTAAATGGTTTAGAAATTTTTCTGTTCTCATTTATTTTTAATTTTTGGTTTGGGTATTAAAATCCATTCATGAACCTTTTTGGGGTAATCATTACCTGAAAAAGTTAGCTGCAAATGTATTTTTCTAAAACTAGGTCTCTTCATGTTTTCTAAAATTGCATTCTCTTTATAATTGCAGTGCCACAAATCCAGAATGGCTAGATTAACAGCTGTGGAACAATGACAGAATCTGGAGCAACCTTAGTGAAGATTTTTAGACCTGCTCTAAATTTTTTGAAGTGTTTGTTTAATGTTGAGTATCTAAAGAAAAATTGTGGAGGCAGCTATGTGTGTTTCAAATTAATGTCTCGCAGACATTAATAAATAAAGTCGCTGTAGGTGTGAATCAAAATAGTTTTCTTATTGACTTGGAGGCAAAGATACAGAATTTAGCCCTAGTACTGGAAGTGCCTGCAAAGCCGCCTCACGGCTGTGTGCTAGTGAGAATGACCCAGCAGATTTACAGCAGAAGTGCAGCATTCACATTAGGCACTAGTCTCTTGTGTGTCTGCATATAGTCTGTGGAAAGAGGGATGTATTCAGAATCTGTGTTGGATCTTAGATGAGTTGAATAGATGTGATTGGAGCCATCTCCATTGGTGTAGGAGGACAAAGAGTAGTCTCCTAATATACTCCCTGTAGCTGAATAACTAAAGTTAGGTGGGATGACCCTGGGCCATATTCTGCCTTCACAGGCAGTTGATAGTGTTTTGTAGAGAATTAACTTTCTTACAGTTTTGCCTCGTGTTAAACTAACGTAAAGACATCAGTGAATATCTTAAAGTTAATTTGCTTTTTGAATAGTGACTGTAGTTGTCAGATGTTAATTGATTCCAAGTAGAGGGACAAGTGTTCAGTAATAAATTGGGTTTATGGTCTGGAAGACCAATTGTTCTGTTGAGATGTGGTTCATGTTATGAACCTGTCAATGGTTCTCATTGAGAAGGTACTGAGTTCTATCAGTATTTTTTCCGTTTCTCCTTTCACCTTCTATAAAGAGTTGAGTAGATGGCTGTTTCTTTTTTTTGTTGTTGTTTAAGGCTTCTAGCTGTATTTATGTGAGAACAGTGTATAGGGAAAAGACTGAAACCTTTCCACATAAGTGACATCAGGCATACACGGATATACAAATCTGCTATGATAAAATGAACAATCTGTAATTCAAAATGTGACCTTTTTTTACTCACAGCACTGTTAGACATAAATTTACTAGAATAATATGTGAAAAGATACAGTGAGACCAGGCATCTGCCATTCATAAGAGTGTACAAGAAAACATAGTGAAGACCCTTATAGGCAAGAATATAATATTTTTGAAACTTTGAGGATCTGCATTCCTCTGAAAGCCCTGCCTTCTTGTTGAATGATTTACATATTGTGCTGAGTTATAGTAAGCAGCTGTTTGGGCCTGTTGTAGCTTTGGAGGAAAAAAAGATACTGTACAATTAAAACAAAGATTAAAAACAGGGAAAGTTCTGTCTAATTTAGGACTTCTCGTGTATCATCAATGGGAATCAGGATTATCTACTGCAAATGGTCTCAAGAGCTGTTTATGAGAATGTCTTACCTGAATTTCCAGATTTACACTGGTGTATCTCATTTCAGAATTTTTTCTGATTCCAAAAATTGATGTTTGCCTTAGGGAGACTCTTTTCATTAAATATGAAATGATAAAGCTCATGATTCTTAGGTAAGGCAAAAGGGAAGAATATCAACATAAAATCAGTGGGCTTCAGGAAGATAAATTTCAATGCAGTCAGAAATAGTAGATAAGTTCTCACATGGAGACTAGCCTAAAAAGCAAAAGGGAGTTAAGGAAAAAGTTACTTTAAGAAGTTAGTACCAATAAGCCCAAACTGGCTTGCAGTCAAGCCATTCAACAGCCCAAGTCCAGGGACTTTAACCAGGCTTCTTTTGTGCACATTACAGTATATTCATACGTGCATTCCAGTTGCTTATTGCATTCTGTCATACATCTGTGATGCCTTTCTTAATGACTTCTTTTGCATCATCAATGTGCCCTCAAGCTCCAGCACTTATGTGTGTCATGTATTGTGTTCATGTAGCTTTAAATACTGTCTGAGTATTTCTTCCCTGCTGGCCCTTACTTTGACTTTTTTTTCCTGTGGGTGGACCAGTACAGAAAATCAGGTTTGACCTATTAGCCTGTGCTTAGGTAGTTAGTTTAATCACATGGTTAGTGTAATCTCTATGTTTTGAGCTACACTGCATTATTCTCAGCTGGATTTGTCATAAATGAAGTGTGTCAGTCTAGTTAGATCAGTTGACCTTCCTTCTGTAGTCTCACGGAGGAGAAGCAGTTTACTTGATTGTGTCTTTGCAACATCTCATCAGAAAGCCAGAGAAACATGCCAAGCTGCAGCTGTGGTAGTGAGTGAAAACCTGGCTGGAAAGTCATACCCAGAGAGCAGCTACCTGTGGTTCACTGCTGAAAGGGCAGAAAACTTTGAGCAGGATTCCACAAAGATCCGTCTTAGGTTAGAAGTTATCTGGTGTTTTCCTTAACTTGGATGAAAAAGAATATGCTGACTAAATTTGAAAATTATATAAATCTGCTGCAAGAGGCAGTGGAAGGACAGGATTAGAAATCAAAGAGATCTTGACAGAGAAAAAAGTGGAAAAACTAGGCTACAGTTCAATAAAGATAGAGCTCTAAGTTTAAGCTGTAATAATCAACTGCGCAAACACAGGCTGGGGATTGTTGGCTAGACAGCATCTTCAGAACAAGATCTGGGGTTTGCACTACATCACAAATGAGGGGTCATAAGCATTTTCAAATAGGGTTAAATGTCTTTCAGAATTTAATAAAGAAGGCATATAAAATAATACTCTCTGGTGCTCCACCTGCTTTGTCTAGATTGTATCCAAATAAAAAGCTGCATTTCAAGAAGGTTAAGGACCTACGGGAGAAAGATTAGAAAATAGTAAAGCACTGAGGATAAACAGAACCGTATCTCGAAATTATGATGAATGAGGAAAGATTGAAAGCACTGATGTTATTTTTTTTTGGAAAGAGACAACACGTAATAGTCTACAGATGCTTTAAAAGCTGCTGCAAAAAGAAAAGGAATAAACTGTTCCCCTGACCACTGCAGGTGTGGCCAGGTGACACTGTTTAGGACTAACACTTCAAATCAGCAGGGTTGTTACTGTTAAACACAAATTAATTAATTAGGTTATGCAGCCTCCATCATTAGAGGTCTTTGAAACCAGACAAAGCCAGTGATTTCTTAGTCTTCTTAGGTGCCTTCTAATGGGTTTCTGGTTTTTTGCAAGCCTTGGATCCCTGAGCACTTGGTTTTTGAACTGGGTTAAAACATCATGAAGCAAAAATTCATCTTGTAGTACTGTGGCTTAAGGAGAGATTGACAGGTGGTGGAGGTGCCTGGACCTCCAGTACTATCATCCCTCTCTCTTCCAGATCTCCAGCAGTAATTTTTAAAACAAAGGCAGAAAGTAGTGACAATAGTGCTGTGGAGGCAGCAATCACCGATATCTCTGTACCTTTTTTTTTTTTTAACTTCCATGCTAATCACAGGCTGGGTGTGTTCATTGATTAATAATCTCTAGAAAAGACAAGTGTTTGACGGAAATGAGATGAGTATGGCTGATCCATTTCTGATGAACAGAAGTGCTGCTATTACCTAGTCACTGACTTTGCTTTTCACATCCAAGCTCTGTGGAAAATCTGAGTCTGGACTTTGCAATTGGCAGAGATTATCATTCTCTACTGTTTTGCTTGTGAATGTCTTGGAAAGGAAAAGGCTAGTAGGAAGAAGATATGCAAAATAGAGCTTTCTGCTCTCACTGCTTAGGTTCAGGCTCGGTGTAAAGAAGCACCTCTGATTCAGTATCAAAAATGGATCTAGTTATTCAAAGATGCTTCAGTTCATGCCCTTGCTTACACAGAAGGGACAGCGTAGTTTGTGGCTCACACAGTGGCACAATCCATCAGCTCTATTTTTAGACATAGCCCCAGACTGCCATCTTTGTTTCAGTAGATGATACTAAAGCCAAAATCTAGCCCACGGACTGTGTAGTAAACTAAGTTTTAAATGAGATAAAACATCTTCATAAATTACTAGTTGAAGCATTATCAACATAACTTTATACAAGTAATGTTGTCTTGGCTCTATAAATGTTCCAACAGGCTTCCTGGGGTGGCTCGGCTTTGATATCGAGGAAGCATCGCAGACTTCTTCATGGCATCCACAGGTAGGTCAGTTTAGTTCCGGTGCACGCTTACCAGGGACTGAGGTGGAAGTTGTATGGCCTGTTGGCCTCCATGAGAGCTGCATTTTCCAAAATACGTATTACTATTGATTGGAGAGATTTCTGAACCTATGGGTGTGTGGGTGGAAAGGAATGGGAAATCTGATTTGTCTGCTTGGATTGTGTTTGGCCATTTTTGATTCTCCAGTACCCATGATCATAGGTGCAATTTCCACCTCCCTTTCTCCATTTATAAATCTTGCAGGGCTGATTCTGTCGCCTGGAATCCCCATAAAATGCTGTTGGCAGGAATCCAGTGCTGTGCTCTTCTGGTGAAAGATAACTCTGTAAGTCCTCCTGTCCTTTTTTTTTTTTTTTTCTCTTTGAAATGCAGTGGGCTCTCATTGCTGTAATAGGGAAGTGGAAATAATTAGAAAACAACTGCAAGTCATTTTTACTACACTGCAATGCAAAGGCTGAATGATATTATTTTGAATTTCACCACAAAATTAATAAAGGGTGAATAAGAGAGCAGGGTCAAACCGATCCAAGTCACTGTACTCACCAGTGGTCAAATTTTGCAGCTGGTGCCCTTGCTAGTTAACTTCTGTATATGATTTGCATTCAGAATTGAGTATTTTGTCACCTGGGTCTGCAGCACTGAAATACTGAGCTCATCAAACTCCTCTGAATAGCTGTCATCCATTGGGACTGCAGCAGTACTGCGTCTCTGTTTAAAGCAGGCAGAGCTCCTCTTCACATCCCTTTAGATGGGTGCACCAGAGCGAGACAGGAGAGGGATAGGAGTTGGAGCACATGCACTTGAAGGTGCTGAGCCTTCTTTCCTCACTCTACTAGCTCTTCCTCATCACTAGGATGGTTTAGGCTTTCCAAAAGCCATGACTAATTAAAAGGTCTAGCAAGCAAACAACAGAGCTGTGATCTCACGTGGCACAAAAGTGAGGTGAGTCTCCAATGTGGTGAAAGTCCCTGCTAGTACCTTGGTGAAATTCTTCTATCTTAATAAAGAAAGCAGTAAGACGTTAATTATTTCAAGCCCCGTACCAAACTCAGCCCTGCTAAAACTTATGCCCGTTCTCCACCATCAGGGTTGAATTTTAGCTTATACTTCATAGGTTATAAATGACTGAACGCCATGAGGATGTGGAGTCCCTGAGGTTTGCATCACTATTTTGTAGCCATGGTTTGTAAATCGCTTTCATAAATCTCTGTCAAAACAGATGATAGTTTCTGTTCAGCTGCTAGTGGTTAGCTGTCCATATAATTGGTTACTAACTCCTGGTAGTAAGAACTGATGAGGACAAAAGAGTATAGATGCTAATCAGCGCTCTCTTGGAGCTGATTGCTCCAAGCCAGGAGTGAGACACGGCAGGACAGCAAGGAGAAGTGTGCCTCCTCATTTCCTTAGGCTAGAGTCTGTGGGATTAAAAAGGATTAGACTCCAGGACTACCTGTCCATCACTTTATCTTTATTCCGGGATGAAAAACAAGCAGAATGAAGTTATTGACTAAGATTAATGTGGTGTTTTAATTGCAGGCTTGGGAAGAATTCAGTGCTGTATTTTTAACTAATTGGGCCCAATATATAGATATAGCCTCAGGTAATGATTAGACTGCTTGGGCTGCATTGTGGAAATTTCTCAGGAAGAGAGAGGAAAGAAACAGAGAGGGATTAAATATTCCAGCTGCCCTAGCATGTAGGGTCACTTTACAAACACACTTTGAGTTTCAGGGCTTTGGTAGTCTTTCTGTATTCTCCTTCCATGGAGCATAACGTCTGATAGAGCAATCCTATTCCACTACTAAATCACAGCTAGGCAATGTTGTGCTGGAAATACTTGTGGAGCTGAATCCTAGGCCATTGAGAGGTCAATACACAAGTATTTCTGATCATACAATCGGATCCTGTTTTACAGTGAGGTGTGTTCTGGAAAGTAGACTTCTCTGCATGGGGACGAGAGAACATTTTACTTTGTGTTTAATTACTGGAAATTTGGCACTTACATGTTTTGTGTATACTAATTTGGGTACTTTCTTATCAGCTTTTCTAAAATGTTGGAGTATAAATATTTAAGAAAAAAATCTGTATTTAAGACACTTTGGCAGAAGGGCCTTATTTCGATTTGATCCTCTCCATACGAGATCTGGAGCAGGCAGCTGGACCCAGTTTGCTATTAAAAATACTATTTTCACACCAGTAAGTGTATGGAAGAGGACGTGCATTGGTTCCTCACTTTGGAGCTTGTTCCACCGCTCCTAAATTACATAAAAACCTATGTCTGTGGATGAAGCATAAATTTATATGTGAATATAATTCCTTCATGCTGTGATTAGGATGCTTGCCTGGGAGCTGGATGCTGAGATGGGAGCTGGAAGTTTGGCACGCATGGCTCTCCTAGTGAATATTCAAGGAACCTAAGGTAGTTTCTGAAGTGGTGAATTCTGCAGGAAATCAGAGCAGAAAAATGTTAAGCACAGATGTTAAGTCCCATTTATGAATCAAGCCCTAGCTCCCTTTGAAGGTCTGATTGAGGAAGCTTTGGTAGCGCATGTCTTCCCATTTGCTTTGAGGTCCGTTTGAAAACTGTGGACTGCCTCAGGATTAGGGTTAGGTGATTACAAGACAGATAATCCCCTTCAGTTTTTCTCCTTTTTTTTTTTTTTTTTAATGGTATAGATTGTTTAACAAGCCCAAGCTTTGTATTTTACTTTATACATGAGAAGATCATCTTTAGAAGGAATCATCACATTTCTGATGTAGTGGTTACACCCTGATTTCCCATTAGCAAAAGTCATAGTGACTGGTTTTGTTTGATTTGTGTTTTTTTTTTCACATGGCATCAATAAAACCGTGTGGTTTAGCAGTTAATAGGCTTAAGACATTGTGGGTAGGTTATTAGAATGAAACATTGTATTTAAATATTTTCCTGTACAGATTTAAAAAAAGATCAACTGCAGTGAAATGCCAATAAAAGACTATCTTCCAGCCTTAGTGAAACAAAATTGGAATTATTTCCAAAGAAGGTAGAGATAGAAAAGAGAAATACTTGTTTGACTTGCTTAAAAGAGAAAAGCGTTTTCACTAAATTTTGAGGATGTTTAATCCTCTGTAAGAGCTCAGATGAGTGACAGTAGTTCTTCGGTGCTTAAACCTCTCAAGAAATTTGTAGCTATCCCTTTTGCACTGCCATACCCTGATGTCCTGGTTTCCGCTGAGACAGAGTTAACTTTCTTCATAGCAGCTAGTAAGAGGCTGTGTTCTGGATTTGTGATCAGCTGCCTTCTCAGCACATTCTGATGTTTAGAGTTGCTGCCAGGACAGTCAAGCACTTTTCAGCTTCTCTGCTGTGCCAGTGCCTGAAGGCGCAGGAGAATCTGTGATGGAGCACAGACCCAACTACTAGCCTAGGATTCGACCTTAGGTTTAGGCTTGAGACCCAAGTTGGCCAGTGGTATATTCCATATCATGTACATCATGCTCAGTATACAGGTGAGGATCTTTCCAGAAGTACTCTCTCTTTCTCCAGGTTGTCTCCCTCTGGGTCACTCCTCTCTCAGGGTTGTCTCTGTCTCTTGGACACTCGAGCTCTTATCTCCGTCTGGGAGAGCAGTTTTGGGACTCTCCCTGCTCCAAGATTGTTAGTTGTGAATGGGCTGAGCCCTGGTTGTTGGGTGGTGAATAGTATCACTGTGTATCACTCCTTTGCACATTTGTATCTACAATAATAATGATAATTATTATTATTATTACTGTAGTTTTCTTATTAAATTGTTCTTATCTCAACCCACAAGTCTCTTTTACCCCTTTCATTCTCTCCACCATCCCCAGGAGGGGGGAGGGTGAGCAAGTGGTTGTTGTGTTTTGCTGCCAGCCAGCATAAAACTAGAACACCTGAGTAACTTTCATCACTTTTGTGAGAAGATAGACTTACTCAGAAAACACTTGTATTGCTGTGATGTGAAATGCAGTGACTGTTTAAGCACAAAGCTAGATGGACCGATATTCTCACAACGTTAGTGAATCAACTTTGTTCTTACATATTCTTAAAATGCTATGAATCAGTCTTGGGTTGTACATACTCCCTTAAGACAACAGAGTTACTCCAATTTGTGCTTGCTATAATCCATATAAATGTGAATATTATCACCATATAAGTAGTGAACTAAAGTTTATCACCGATGCCAAAGTTCTGTGACTCATTTGAGTGTAGCACTAGGTTAGGTAATTAAAAATCAATTCTAAGTAATGAGCAGAATTTTCACTTATTAGTTAAAAATAAAGTCTCAGAGAATATAGCTAATGAAGTCCGAGTTTAGCACAGAATATAATTGATTGAGGTGATCATGGTAGCCATCTACAGTGTAATCTCTTCCTTATCATTGGCAGTATCACAAGGATCCCTGATTCCTTTACAGGGCATTTGGATAAGGCAGAGGATAGTCCTACGTTGATCAACCCTACTGTATACTCTCCCTGCAGAAACACTGTGCAAAATTTTAAAGTGGATTTTTTTTTTTTTTTTTTGTGGATGTTGGTGCCTTTTTTTTAATATATCACATCTAGTAAAATTGTATTTCCCCTGAAACTCAAGGTGTGGAAATCTAAATGGATAAGGCATGACTCCTGTTCCTGTTGTGCAGCTGCTAGCCAGAGAACACAAAGCTGTAGAAAAGCTGTAGAGGATGGATGCTTCAGTGCTTGACTTTTCTTCAGTTTCTAATGTCTTCTTCTTGCCTTTCTTCTTCTGCGAAAGTTGGGAAGTAGGTGTAGGAATCTCATATACTGCAAAAAAACTGTGCCCAGCATTGGCTTTCCAGGTCTAGCTACTGTGTGCTGCATGATTGCAGAGGGAGAGCTGCAGCTGCCCCTTTTTTTCCCAAGCTGGCACATAAACTGTATTTTCACAAGGCTGAATGTGCTGGTCCTGCAGCTAAAGAGTTCAGACTGAGTTTGTCCTTTTTGCAAGCCAGCAATATTACAATGGGATTGTCAAACCCCTACAGAAGTTGTGGAAAAACCTTTGGTGGTGTTATTTTGTGCTCTACAAATAGGTGTGCAGGCTGTTTTGTTTGTTTGTTTTGGTTTTAGTATTAACCTGCTTGCTGCCAGCCTTTCTCTCTACTTCACAGTATTGCAAAGTAATTGATATTTCATTCTTCAGCCAATGGCCAGTTCTGCTCCTCTTTTCTGCCCTTGCAGAACCTACAACAGACTCTGTGCTTTCTGTTTCCCAGATTTGTTCTTTGCTGGAACTTGCCATATCACTCATTTATCTTTGTTTTCTGCTGCTCATCTCTGGCCAGGCAGCCTTTCAGAAGTTGAAGGCTGGAGACTGCGGAATAAAAATAATTTCATTAACAAACCATAATTAGGGTGTGCTAAAGTGCCTCTTCTGAGGTTTATTTTCAAATATTAAAATTGTCTGAACTGTGAAAAGAGAAAAAAAAAAAGGGGTTGTATTAATCTCTGTGGTGTTTCCCCTCAAACAGCCAGCTTATGTTAAATCCTCAGTGACTTTGTTTTCTGGTGAGGGCTAAACATTTATTTCTTGGGACTAAAAATCTTCCCTACCTGCAACTAACTGTGCCATATATAAAGTTCTTTGATAAAGAAGGAATACACTTGAGTCATTTGTGAAGATGCAGGAAGCTCCTTACGGGCTTTTCTTCCAGTCTATAGACTGGAGCAGTGGACACAGGCTTCTCCTCCCTCTTTCCCACCCATGTATGTCTTTGGGCAGCTATTTCTGTGGTACTTGCTCCCATGGTTTCTTGAGATACGAGTCAGAATTCCTCTGCAACCTGCAACTCTTCAATGACATTAGACATTATGAAGAAAATAAGCAAAAAAAAAAAAAGGTTCTTTGTTGTCAGTGCTGACTTCACTGGATTTAGGTTCATCCAGGGTTCTTAAACCGCATCACAAGCTTTGGTTAGTTTCCTGCAGATCCAGTTCAGTTTTACGAAGCAGTTGGTACAGACATTAAAAAAAAGGCTTTGGCTTGTGAAGATATAAGGTTTTGAAAATGCTTATTGGCAATCTAAGTTTCTATTGTGTTTCTAATAGGGCCTCCTGAAGAAGTGTTACTCTGCCAAGGCCGCATACCTGTTCCAGCAGGACAAGTTCTACGATGTCAGCTATGACACTGGTGACAAGTCCATTCAGTGCAGCAGGCGTCCAGATGCGTTCAAATTCTGGCTGATGTGGAAAGCATTGGGAACCACAGGCCTTGAGGAGAGAGTAAACAGGGCACTGGCTTTGGCGAGGTACCTCCTCACGGTCTTGAATATGTCTAGTCTGTTTAATTGACTGAAATGTTGATACTGCTGATATTCTGCATCCTGGAACAGACCACATTGTTACCTTTTTCCCCTCTCTTTTTGTTTGTGTATAATAGGAGGAACTAGTAGCAATAATAATTAGTGTTATTACATTTGCTACAATATTTAATAGTAATTATTACTCTTAGCAGTAAGCATACATGTTGGTGAACATAGAAGTCCAAATTAGACTATCAATCTACATTGTTTAACATTTGTGTTATCTGAACCAGACACAGCACAGGTTTAACAATACACCCTCTTCTAACTCATCTGTGTGTTCTGGTGGCTGTGTCTAGCAAGAAGTGAATTAGCCATTCTTCTGTTCACTTAATTCCTCATGAATGAGGAAATGCAGAAGGCCAATAATGTGGGGGAATTCATATGAGGACTCTATTAATGTTAGGATGTAGTAGAGGTATATGAAGGCATATTGTTGTGAGATACTTCTTGTTTTTTCTCCACAAGTTTGCTGAAGTTTGTAATGCTTACAGTATGCTTTGTTAGGGACTGAAGCATCTCTTGTGATCTTCCACTTGCCTGCCCGGTTCAATTTTACCGGTTTTGGTCTTGCAGAACTGAGTTTCACAAGTGAATTCTGCAAAATTCTTGTTTGAAGGTGTTTCTAAAGTGATGGTCATGTCTCGGTTCCTGGGAAGAAACACAGCTTGTTTTGTCTTGTGACAGAAGAAATAATATTGAAATAAGATAATGGCCCATTAAAAACAATTCACTTGAAGTATCGTCTTTGTTCAGATTGTATACAAGATAAAGCATGATGAAACCTTCCCCACTTCTTGGGCTAGCTACGCACTATCATAAGTCAAATCATTAATATTGAAAAACAGTCACCCATAACATATTGCCAGTTTATTTTTGATATAAACTACCAAGTTGAAAAGAACTGAATGTTTATTCCAGTAAAAATTAAAGGAATAGTCTCACTTTAATGAAGTCACTTAAAGAAAAGGTAAAAATACCCACAACCTAAACCCAGAGTGGATTAGAAAGGAATAAAAAGAAAGAAGCAAAATGAGAAAATCCCAAATGAGCTGTGGGGTTTTTTGGGGTGGTTTTTTTTTTTTTTTTTTTTTAATTTCTTTAAAGACACTCATTGTTTGGCTGGTTAAGTGTTCCTTAATATCCTCTGGTTAAATTGCACCTTGTTTTTGTTCTGAGGCATTGTACGGTTCCGTGTCTGTACAGAGTAAGTAATTCATTCCACTGTCAGTAGGAGAATTCAGCCTTATCAAGGTCACTGGCCAAGGTAGTTTGAAAGTGTAGTAATTAATGACCTTTCTGGGATCGATATTTTCTTTGAAGCTTAGGGTTCAGTTGGTAGTGCTTTTAAGGAGTGACTGGGTTGTCTCTTTTTGTTTGTCTTTAAGAAGAAATTTAATTCCTTAGTCATTATCTGATTGAGTATATTCTTTACAGTAGCTGCCTTGCTATCTTGAGTTTGCATGGACATGGGCACTTTGCAGCTGAGACATCAGGTTTATGGGCACTATGCCAGGTTTCCTAACTACTCAGCAGCTGTGCAGCCTTTCTCCTGATCTGTTACATTAGCTTTTACTTTGATGTTGCGAAGATAGTGTTCCAATGTTCCTAAACACAGACATGGATTAATGCTAGCACTCGTCCAATGACTATAGAATTTAAGAGCAGGATTACTTTTTTTTCCCTGTGGCCAGGCAGAGATGCAAAGGTTGTAGGGTAATTGCAGGCATGTATTTCTGTTGCATCAAACTGTGTTTATTGGCTGTTCCATTAATTTCTTCTTGTTCTGCAGATGAATGTTTTCAGTGTATTAGGTATCCAGGAATGTTGTGATGTGATGCTGCCTGTTTGGTAAGGCTTATTTTTAAAATGCCTACAGTAGGAGCATCCTCCTGATCACTTCAAAAATTGTTTGCTGTTCTTATTTTTCCAATTATTTTTGATGCTTTATGAAGTACACTAAAGAGAAAAGTAAACTGCTTTTAGAATACAGCTATAACCACTTTTGCATTTTATGCTTCAGCATCCTTGCAGTTTTTCTGCTTGATTCCTCTTCTGACACTCACTCTTAGCAGATAATATGTCTACTTTCACTGCAGAACTCCACCCCTCATATTTTGCAAGGCTTAATCGGAGCACTTCTCTGTGCACTCCAGTTCTCACTGAGACTCAAGCCCTTCTGACATACTACAACTGTGACATGATAATAAAACGTCACAGTCAACTATGGAAGGTTGCACAGAGTAAATGGCTCCGCTGCTGTCAAATGGTCCTGGCAAGAGAAATCATGGGTGATGGATTTTCTAATAGCTGTCTTCTTAGGCTATTGGCAATGTAGTTAAGAACATGATTAAGTGTTGTGAGCTTGACTGACATCAGATATCCTATGTCAGATGGTGGTATAACAAAAAGGCACTTGTGGTAAGAGGGAAGGCTATTAAGCATTGTAAAATATCTCTAACAATTCAAGACCTAAAAAAAAAAAAGGTGATCATATGTAGAATGTAGGTTTCATTTTCATTATTTATTTAAAAAAAAAAAAATTTGAGGGCCACTGTCTTGAGAATAACCTGCTGATTTTGCTCAATGTTGGTTTTATGGCACAGGACATCAGGACAAAAGCACTGAGCTTGTTTTACTTAAGACAATTCCCGTACAGAAACAGGCTCCTCCCAACATGCTTACATTCTATCTATCCTCCTACTTGCCTCTTAGCATGCCCCTCTTTCAACCTAAGCAGTAGTGTGGGCACCAAGAGCCAGGTAACAAAAACACGCACACAGGTAGGATCTAAATGGCCATGGCAGAAAAGACCCAGAACCTCCACTTGTTATAGTAGGAAGAACATCTCAACAGTGCACAGTGTGGCTCACCTCAGAGAGCTGTGCGTCGTGGGAAATAGCATGCTACCAGAGGAATCATTTTGCAGGAATATGTGCTAAGAGGTAATGAGTCATGCGCACAATGCTTGTTAACGATAAACAGCATGACAACTCCCCATACACTGTTTTGAAAAATCTGTGCCATCTAGGGTATTATTTACTGTCTCCCTAGCTAACCTGTTTATGCAGCACATCTGCCGAATAGCAGGCATTGCAGATACAACTGTGCTGGAGGTGTCTCTGTCGGGGCAGGTTTCAGGCATGTGGATAGGACCAAGGGGGGTTATTTTGACAATATTCTTCTTCCTCAAGTAGTGCATAAAAGAATTATTTATGTGATGACCATTAATGCAGCTGCAGGCAGGAAAATGCCAAATTAATGCAACAAAAGAACAGATTTGTACACAATCAGCAGTTTAACTTTCATAGATTCATAGAGTCATAGAATGGTCTGGGTTGGAAAGGAC